GTATGAAGAGAGTCGATAATGTTGGTGGGGTACGAAAGTGGGGTTGGTCAGATACTTTTGCACTAGTACTGTAGTAACATTCTTTCATTATTTGTCTAGTACATTACTTGGCGATTCCGAAGTGACCAATTACTAGCCAGAGATTTGCCGAAAGCTCGTTGAGCGTAATACACACTCCTCCACTCTCGAAGGAAGAGGGAAATCATTGTGGATCTAGGAATATGGACTTGATCACAGTCTACATGCTACTTGGCTGGCTTCAGCCGAAAGGAATGTCGTAACCAAAGGCTTCATGATCAAATCTTGCTGAGGAATTTACCATTAGTACATTTTGAAAACCATATATTGGCAACTATATCATGCACACTCCACAGCCACATCTCCTCGTGGAACCCACCAGCTGTGTATTTCCATAATGACCTGAGTATGTGATTAGAATGCGATGCCATGAACAATGTGATAGTCTGGGCCTATTGTTTTATAGAAGGCAAAAAGTTCACATCAACATCTCCACTCTCGAACTTTGCCGCAGGAGAGGTTCGATACTGGAAGGAGAGATGTATCCGCTATGAAAACTCGCTAGTTGTTAACTAGTTGGTTTTGCTTTCTTTGACCAGTGGATTAACCACCTAGGCCAACTGTCCGAGGACATTTGACTCTGCACAAGATTAAAATATAAACCAGAAATGTGCGGGTAGTGAAGTGAAAGAAGTGTTTCGGCCTCCACTGGTTTCATCTGTGCTTATGGAGACCAAGTGTGTCTTGTGCTCTTTGACCTCCTATCATAATGTTCTACCCACGCCATAACCGCATACACCCTTGACAATAGACTCCTTGAAGTTCAAGACCTGGTGCATAATATCGCATTTGCCCAACCCGCATGTTCAAAGACCCGCCGCCAGCTCAATAAACGCAACTCTCCCTCTCCCTTATTCCATTTCCGTGCTCAGCTAAGATTTTGGTCGCGTATTGCTCTGACTCGTGGTTGGCATTTGATGTTGGGTAATTGCTATCTCGTTTCGACATAGTTCATCGAATAGCAATGGCAGAGTACGATGGTGGTTTATGATCGCTTTGTCACCAGTTCTTGTTGGTGTTCTGAGGTGAGATGTCGGCGAAGGGGCTTGTCACGTCCACGAGTCTATTTACGTGACTCAAACATAGGCAGTGCTTGGAGTCGCCTCAATTCGCAATCGTTTGAGGTGGATGCTTTTCTCTTCGTGCCTCGGTTGGCGGCGTCGAGCCCTGCCTTGATGAAGTCTTCTTGGGAGGATTGTGCTTGTTGCGTCGAAGAAGGTTCTGGGGGCGGCAATATAGCATGACCAGTTCGTGTACATATTGACCATATGTCGTCAGCACCTAAAACTGCATCCTTGGGGATCAAGGCCGGACGTCTTCCATGATCAATTGCGCTGTCGGCCATGGCTGGATGCTGCTTTTCGTGTAAGGGCTTTATATTGTGTGCTTTGTGGTGGTGGAGTTATTGTGGGAATGTATATCTGGGGATTCTGAAGATCACCTTGCGAACAGGCTACTTTAATGTCAAGATGAGTATTTTCAAATTATCGCTAGAATGATCTTACACTGGACCAATAAGACGTGTCTCTTTCTCCTGCAGTTAGCCGGGTGAAGGTTAAGACATCGATACAAAGAAGACGGCCTCCTGCTGATCAGTGTATGGTTCAGATTCCCGAAACTGTGCTGCCTCCCAAAGCTTCACATGAAACAAGACATGGGGGCAAGCAATTGACGCCTTTTGTATCCACCATTTCTGCACCGAGGAGGATCAGGTAAAACAATAATGGCAGTTCCCACTTCCACTTCTGGATAGGGTAACATGAAACGAGCTCAGGCATGATTTCACTTTCCATAGATGAAAAAGCGGTGGATTAAGCCTCCATTCTAAAGATAGGCATCATGCGTAATGTCTTCCCTAAAAAGCTGTGCCAGGGCCACGAAAGACGCTTCACCTCTCCAATCACCACCAAAATCCATATGCCCTAGGTGGGAGCATGTGCTGAGCTGTGCATACGTAGTAAGTTAGAGCTGACAAAATACCTGGTTTGGATTGAGCCAAACAAAGCAAGTGGACAAGTCGTGTTTCAGATTACTAACGTTGTCCACCCGGAAATACAAGCTTTTGCTAAGATCCCCCTAGCTTGGTGCTGTTATGCAAATGACAAGAGCAGTGGTCGGAAATACTACATACTCCAGGGACCTTCGGACCAGGGTCACAAATGGTGTGATTCAGACTAAACCGATGCTCGTTCGTTCTCCTACACGCCATTTGTGAAATCACGCCGTCCGAATATGGATATCTTATCTATGTTAAGTATTACGAATTAAATTATTCAAGACAAGACCACAGTGTTAGGATGGTCAGCGCAACAAGAGCAGGTCCACCTGCTCCAAAACTCCGTCAGTATCTCCTCCATCGAACCCTGAGCATGACTGAACAGCTACTAAATCCCGTAGAGAGGGTCTCAAACCAGCCCGAAAACCCGTTTGCAAAGCTCATACCTGGGCAACAAATTGCAATCGTTCCCTCGTTTACCCTCGAATCCGGCGTCACACTTCATAACGTTCCTGTATCATACACGACTCGAGGCCGGTTATCGCCAGATGGAGACAATGCGCTCGTCATATGTCATGCGCTCAGCGGCAGTGCCGACGTGGCCGATTGGTGGGGTCCACTGATGGGAGGATCTGGTCAGGCTTTCAATGCCACCAGATTCTTCATTGTCTGCCTTAACAGTCTGGGAAGTCCTTACGGAAGCGCCAGTCCTGTTACAAGCAAAGATGGCGACATCAGCAAGGGGAGATATGGACCAGAGTTTCCCTTGACAACAATACGGGACGACGTCAAGTAAGCTCAACGCACCGAAGCGTGGACCAAGCACTGACAAGCTCTAGCATTCACAAAATCGTCCTTGACGATCTCGGAGTGCGACAGATTGCGGCTGTGGTGGGCGGGTCGATGGGTGGCATGCTTTGCCTTGAATGGGCATATTTTGGCAAGAAGTACATCAGATCTATAGTCCCGATTGCGACGTCCGCCCGCCACAGCGCCTGGGGCATAAGCTGGGGTGAAGCTCAACGGCAGAGCATATATTCTGATCCGAAGTATGAGGATGGCTACTATCCATTTGACGACCCGCCAGCCACAGGCTTGGGTGCAGCACGGATGTCCGCGCTCCTGACCTACCGTAGTCGAGATTCGTTCGAAGCTAGGTTTGGTCGCAATACTCCTGACACATCGAAGCGACAGTCTATCAGTGGCACCGAGAACTGTCCCAGCACACCTCCGAACGACCATTGGTCAATACATAACGATGGGCACAAAAGTACTCGAGCATCACAACCCCCTTCCACAAACGGCACACCAGCGATTACCCCTCGCGATTCATACCTCAATTCATCTTCCACAAACCCGTCGTCACATCCAGCGGCCGTCTTCACAGATCCTCAATTCAACGGAACCACGGAATTCGCCGTACCAGCCCTCACTCGGAAGAGCAGTCAACCCACCAACCACTACTTCTCCGCACAGTCCTACCTCCGCTATCAAGGCACCAAATTCGTCGGCCGCTTCGACTCGAACTGCTACATTGCCATCACCCGAAAACTCGACACCCACGATGTCTCACGAGGTCGGGCCCCGACCGTCAGGGAGGCACTGCAGCAGATAGAGCAGCCCGCCTTGATCCTGGGCATCGAAAGCGACGGCCTATTCACATTTGCCGAGCAGCAAGAACTGGCCGATGGGATTCCCGACAGCCGGTTGGGAAAGATCGACAGTCCTGAAGGTCACGATGCATTCCTACTACAGTTCGAGCAGGTGAACCGATACCTGCTGAACTTTTTCCGCGAGGTGCTTCCCGAGATGATGGAGAGGCCTGGCATCAATGAGATGGCGAACGGATCGGGCGTGGAAGCGGACGGGGTGGGCGTGCTGACCAAGAGCAGCACCTTTGGTGAGGCAGAAGTCGAAGATCTCACTGCATGGTGAAATACAGAGTAGGTTGGCTCGATATAGACTCCCAAAGAGAAGCGGGGGACCATAGACTCTACACTCGAGAGCTTTGACTCATCTGTACCGCCGTCATTCTTGATCTCGTCTAACGTCTAATTTTCCCTGCTGCGTCCTGTGCAGCGTCGCCTTCCGTATCACGTTCTGTGTTCCCGTCCTTGCTGGCCTGCCATCTCCGCTAATAAACCCCCCCCCTTCTACCCGTCTTTCAGATATTGCTCATCTCCACCTTCCCGGTCCCATCTTCAACCATGCTGTAACAGGCCTCTAAATGCTCGATGTGTGTATTCTAGGTATCTAGATCCGTAGGGAAGGATATGTAAAAACAGCAAGACACTGAGCGGATCACAAATCTCCAATCATTCCCCTACCATCATCATGCCCGGCCCCACCTCATCCAAGCATCTAAGCTGCCATCCGGTCCTCGTCGGCGCCCTGCTCCCTCTCCTCCCGTAACACGCTGGCCACGCGCCCCTCCGCCCTCTCCTCCTGGGTGCGATAGCTCGAAAACAACGCCAGCATGAGAACATCATACGCCAACTTCAACGCGCCAGCGACCACAAACGCGACCCAGAAGTCGCCCTTCCCGGCCAAGGCGCCCGTGGCCACGGGGCCCAGACTCTGCGACAGCGTCTTGACCACATTGACCATGCCCATGACGGCGGTGCGCTCGTGCGGCAGCACGGCGGCGGCC